CAGTTGACAAAGATAAATTAAAGGTTGTGAGAAATAATAAATCACCTCAAATAATCGAGAAAGTGCAGAACCAATTGATGAAGTGAGATTAAGAAATTAAGAAAAGAAGACTGAGACTAGAGTTGTAGTAATAAAAGAGAATGAATAAAACGTCTCTAAACTTAAAGTCCAGGTTTTTCCCTATGGAAGGAAGTGTTAAGTTTGCATGAAGAAGATGATTCTTTTTGTCCAGCTCAATGTTAACCTATATATGATGCTAAATGAAGTCACTACCGGTGCTACGTTACCACAATAATGAGCTCAAGAATTGATCTGTTAACTTTTCTAAGTTGTTTTGTCGACAGAAATGCTGTAGGTGCCCATAGACGCTTATTGAGACAATTCCAAACTGGTACAGCCGAGGTGCTTGAACTCCACATGAGTAAATAGACTGACAAATACACATTCAAGATGCCAACATTAACGTTTTGATGGACAAGAGCATGTGTGGACGTGAGACAACGATCGGCTTCAGTCTTTTACTTTAAATGTTTATCAGTGGAGCTGGTTAGATATCCATTTCTGATCAGTTTCTGAAAAATTCTTATTCCTTACTTAATGTATTTTCATTTCAAATGCGACAGATTCTCGTCACAAGCGAAGCGATAAGATTCCATTTGATGCTTCCATTTGTAGAAGTATGCCAGCTGCCCAATTCATTCTAGCTTGTATCAAACTGATCTTTGCACAGACTCATCCTCCTTAACGGCTGGACACCAATAAACAACAAATTTGCTTCTGACCTAACTTCAATCTTAAAGTCGATTGAGCGATAAGCATTGTTAAAAACTTCCAGGATTTAAATTAGTTCAGCATTTTCATTGATAACCGAACAGATATGATATCGTTCAGACAGGGTATTCACTGCATTCATATGTCTGTGCGATGAATGCTAAGTCCTGCTTCATCTTAAAAAGTCATTTGATAATTTACCATCATCATTGAGAAATTCCCAAATTTTTCGAATGCCATCTCATATTTTTAATAAAATAGTTCCTAAAACTTTAATTTGGACTGAGTCTTCATTATTGGACAACTTCATTTCAATTCCGTGCAAAGTTGTTTAGGTAGAATTCATGACGTCTCACTTTTGACTTTTTGGAATTCAGACAGCAGTCGAGTTCTTCAGTAGAAACTGGAACCAAGTCTCTTGTTGACTAGCCAGACTCCAAAATTCCACGTCATTATGGAGCTATGAGTTCTTGGAAGCTTGATGATAGAATCTCGTACCCAGTGATAGCGTCTGAAGTTCGTTTGATGAGGGTTACAATCGACATATTGAAAATAAATTCTGTTTCTAGCGGGAATTTAGAAGGAACTTCCACGGGCTTTGCCGGACGTAAAAGTCAATTATACGCGTCATTTCCAACTCTTGTTGACAATTAACAGTGAATAACCACACAGCTGTAGTTGGGAATTACGAAAAGACCTCAATTTTAACTATTGTGTTCAGAACCACCTACATGTACCACTGCCAACCAACTCCCTTAAACATATAAGCTAGGCTCTGTAACAAAGAAAGTAATATAATCTGACAACGGAACATCAGTGGTAACATTTTGTTTTGATAAAGTCTCACAGTGTTATACAGTAATGCAAAATGGAGCTTGAAATTTTCTAGTTAGATTTGAGTACAACATGACTATCTATGAAATATGTTACCACTGATATAAGAATAAAACTTGTGCACTGTGGTAGAGTGTAAATGTGAGGCACAACTGAATTTCTAAAACAATTTCATCATCACATCTACTATCTTTAAATTCCAAGGCAAAATATATAGACAAACTGAAGGTGTAGCAATGGGATCACCAATATCCCCTATTGTAGCAGACATCTTTATGGACAGCTGGGAAAATATGGCACTTAATACGTTTAATCCTACTCCAAAAATATGGTGGAGATATGTAGATGACACATTCACAGTGTTAAAAACAGAACATATCTCTAGCTTCTTAACACACATAAACTCACAGGTTGAAGGAATAAAATTCACATTTGAATCAGAAAATGAACAAGGAGAATTAACCATGTTACATTGTAAGATAAAACGAATAGAAGAAGGTAAACTACACACTAGTGTTTATAGAAAACCAACGCATTCTAATAGATATTTAGACTTTAATTCATCTCATCCTTTAACTGTTAAGGCAGGCTTAGTTAGGTGTCTAACAAACCGAGCAATGGCACCAAGTAGCACAAAAAAAGACTTAAATGATGAGATAAAACAGATAGAAGAGGCGTTGGTGTTAAATAACTATCCTTTAAAATTCATTAGGAAGATTGAAAATGGCCAAAAGAAAAATATAAAGAATTGTGAAACTAGTAATAATAACATTAATAAAAGAGAGAGTCATCTACAGTTATACCATATAAAGAGGGGACATCTGAGACCCTACGTAGGATTCTAAATAAAGCAGGAATTAGGGTGGCATTCAAACCTACAAACTCACTCAGGGACAAGCTCTGTAGGTTAAAGGACCCAGTTGACTCAATTAGACAAATAATATAATTTACAAAATACCCTGCAATGACTGTGAGGTCAACTACATAGGTCAAACTAGTAGGTCAGGGGTAGTCAGATTGTCAGAACATAAGAATTTAGCTAAGGTAAGAATGGTTGACCCCGAGAAGATAAGTAATTTAGAAAAAAGCTCAGCAATTGCAATGCATACATTAGCACACAACCACACAATAGGGTGGGAGAGGGTTAAAATTCTAAAAAGTAATCTAGGTAGGTGGAGAGAGAGGTTGATTACTGAATTCTTGTTCATCGAATCTACACCCAACAAATGCAATAGGAATGATTCATCACTCATACCCGAAATATGGAAAATATTACTACCAATCAAATCAAGTGAAAAACAATGGAACTACATAAATGAATTTAGGAAGTCGTGTGATTACCTTGATATGATTATGAGCAATAAATTGTGCTCGAAACGTCATCAGTAAACATTACTGTATAACACTGTGAGACTATATCAAAACAAAATTTACCCATAGTGGAATTACACTCTACCACAGTGCACAAGTTTTATTCTTATATCAGTGGTAACATATTTCATAGATAGTCATGTTGTACTCAAATCTAACTAGAAAATTTCAAGCTCCATTTTGCATGATACCATAAAGGCTTGTCAGGAAGCACTGATTGGTTTACATCAGTTCGCGATCGAATAAGCATCACTAATCACTGAATGGCTATGTAGGTGAAGGTTCTTAAAAGCTATACTAAAAAAACCATGCTATCATATTACTTGGACTCTAACGTACTTGCTTAACGAGAATACGAAAATGTGTTCGGTATATCCTTCGTTTTTTCTTCAGCAAGACTACACTAGGCCTAACAGCCAAGTTGTAGACAGACAAAAGTAGAAAGGAGTTAAAGATAAAACGATACAGGGTGAAACTGTTTTTCAGTAAAAGCCAAGATATCAAAGACTAGTACATAAATGTAACTAAATAATGAGGTGAAAAAATCAAAGTTGAAATAGTGTCCGGAATGAAGAGGATCAAAAAACAAGCTACTGGTAATGATAATACTGTTCAGTCACTCTAAATGTAAGGGTCAATAATACTTTATTCTTGTTGCTTTCCTTTGATCACATTTATTCCACCACTTATTGAAGCAGTGGGATCATGAGAAAATAAACGAAAGGTGCCATATCTACCTGACTCTTCCCGACTAATCCTATTTCAGGTCGAAGGTGCAGACAGTTACTCATCGAAGACATTGCGAAGTGGTCGCGCTATATCGTGAATTGGCAGAAGTTAGAATTTATGGGCCATTGGGTTGGGTCCCAGTGGCTGCTTAACGGTCTACAAGCTCGCTGGCCTTGCAACCAGAAGGTCCTGGGTTCAAACCCCGGTGGGTGCGTACTGATGAGGAGTCCCAGACTAGGACGGAACAGTTGTCCAGTACTCCCAGGTTTTCCAATGGTTCTCTAACCGATGTCAGCTCATGATGAAATCCTCCAAACAATCACACAAAATCCCTACAAACCAATACCTGATAATCCTATTTCAGTAATATCGCTCATTGAAGTCGCTGACCCAGAATGATCTATATGTTCTGGCCTACTCAATCAAGAGTTTTTCAACTGTGCTGACTTACCTTTACCTTTCTCAGTTACCCAACACTACCCCTAACCTAATTATTACAGACAATACTGCACCACCTAACACAAGAGATTCAACGCAGAAACCAACATTCGATAACGAATAACCTTTCCTTCCACAACTACTTTCAGTGGCCATGTTACACAACTACAAAGATGGATGAAACGAACTGCTGCACAACACACACATCCTTTGATGAACAGTCAGATATCACGCCTGCGTGAAAGAGGATGGAAGTTGGAAAAGGTTGGAAAAAGCATTTTATATCCACGCTAAGATCTTATCAGCAATCAGTTCATTAGCACTGATACCATTTCCCAAATAAGTACAGTAGTTAACATATTCAAGCATTTTGCTGTCTGCGCTCGAACTAGGAATCAATGAAGATCTCTCCTGTGGTATCAACCTACATTTGAGTTGTGGTTTGTACAACGAGCATAGTATTTTGCTCAAGTCGTTTACAACACTGTACTTTGTCCCATCATAACTGAAACCCCAAAGCACATGAAAAATAAACTTGTCATCTGCCCACCAGGTTAACTGGACTTCCCTGGCAGCCAGTCAGTCCTTAAGACTTCTAAGTTGATCTGCGTCATAATTATTAGTACATCTACAACGAAACCAAATAAATATAGACAAATAGAGTATCCCCAAAAACGCCATCAGTTGTTGTCACTAGCACAACTCTCCGCAGGTTCTTACATAGCTTAATGAATTCAAGCAGAATGCATTGGTTAGTTCAATATACCTTCTCAGTATTCCTCCCAGTCAGAAATCGCCAAATCAAATATCGACCAAAGGAGTCAAATGCTGACCTACGGTAAAAAAATTCAGCAAATGTCAGTAAAGATGATCCTCCAGAGAATTTCACAAGATTTGTTTCCTCTCTTGTAAATTGAGATGTTCAATGATCTATACCAAATCGACGGAACTACCTGGGAGTCCCATATAATTAGTTAACCCAGTCAATAATTCATCATTAACATCCTTTAACACATCTGCAGTCATACCAAGAAGTACTGCTCCTTCGCTTACTTTTAGATTAGAAATAGCTACGGTTAGAGAACCAACCATACCATACCATTCAATTAGGGGTTCGATTAACAGTAAATTAGGCCAGTTGGATTACTCACAAAAAGGTTCTGACCAAATATCCAGTCATCCATTCTGAAAGTGTGATTTTACAAGACTAGCAATGATCACTAATTTAAAAGACGATGAAACTGCTTGGGGAACAGTGTTAGCAGTGGGATGTAAGCAACATGCTAGGTATTAAACAGAGGTTGTCGTAAGTATACTGAAGTGTGTGAACGCTGCAACAACAAAATAAACCAACATAGTACCATGAGAACATATACTTCTCTCCTAGTCTTGTTAATGGGATTGACAATCCACATACCACAGCATCTACAAGATATATGGCAACATTCGAAGAAAAAAAAAGTACAATAACCATGATACATTTTACAAGTAAAAAATTTATGATTACGCACAGAAAGCAGTGTACTATACAAAATGTTTATTCTTGCTAACGTGAACATAATTATGAAGGGAACAGTAATAAGCAGACAAGGAAAAAGGTGACCATGTATATATAGGCGTAGACTGTAAAATGCATTTAATGACGGAGAATAATAAAAATACACACAGCCTCAGTCATAAATATATTAGAGATCATAAAAATTAAAGTTGTCGCGCAAATAGTTCAGAAAAAAAATTTTTGATAATATGACTTCATTGTAAATGATGAAAATCTGATGTACAAAATTATGCGATAGACGTAAATTTAGGTAGTATTGCAAAGACGAAGAGATGACAACCTCGTACCTCAGATTCACACATCTTCCATGTCGTCATCATCCTCATCTTCATCATCATGATCTTCAATCATTTCATCTGGATCTACCAGATCATCATTTGCATCATCGCTACGAGCCATTGGATGGTCGTTGCTAACATCCATCACAGAAGCAGATATTTCACGGGTATCACTGATTAAGGTTCGTACCAGGGTGGATGAGCCTAGGCGAGAAGAGCTATCATTGCCAAACTGTCGACTTAGAATGTTAGAAACCCCTGAAGACGGAGTATGCTGTCGATGTCGTAGAAGGCCACCAGGACCTCCAGGAACAACGTAACCACGAGAAGCTGCTGCACGAGCATAATGTTGAGTATCACCTGGAACAAATCCACTATTGGAAACAGACCCCGTAAGATGACCATCTTCTTCATCTGGACTTCTGTTCAAGTATATTTGCCTCATATCTCCTTCGCCTGCATTACCTGTATCGAACAGGCCAGTATAATGCGTACTTGTATCCAACGGCTCACTATTTCGCATTGTATGACCCATGCCTGAATGATCGAGTTGCTGATGCATATTAACTGACCCCCCATGACCACCTGATCCCATAGGATCACTATCTTCTGTTTGACCCACTGAAGATGCTGCAGCTAATCTGGCTTCCACAAACAATCTCCTCTGTTGATGGAGAGCCTCAAAATCTGGAACAATTGCCTGGCGTCGCTCATAGATCGCTAAAAGAAAAAATGATCAGTAGTTAAATCATATGATTCTGCATCATTGTAAAATCCTAATCAAGTGCTAGAAAACATCCTTTACTTCACTTCATGCATACTGTATAACAGTTTCGGCTATTACAGATCCTAGAGACTGTACGAAATAATATAATAATAAAGCTTTATTTCAGACAATATGTGAACACATAATACAGACTAGCAAGTTACAAAAAATGTTGAAATATTTGCATTCTGTAATGCGTACCTATTTAGGAGATACAGTAGTAATACAATTACTATTGACACAGTATGGTTGGCCACATAACGACTCAATAAATGCTAACTAATGCCAGTTATCTGGGGACATTTAACTAATTCATATCTTAAACTTTGACTGTTTCTACGTCTGTAAACTGAAGTTTCCAACATAACATTTATCATAAGAGTAATAGTTTTTTTTAGTTTTGTTACCATAATATGGCTCGATAAATAAATAAATACGTCGATAAATACGTGCTCGATAGCTCAGTTACAGTACAAGCTCTCCAACTTGTATAATAACGTTTCATGGGACATATTAGTTTGTACGCTTGGTTTCCTGTAAAATTTATTTATCGCTTTTTATTAGCACGCAAAACCAAGATGTGGCACGTAATTCGGTAATTCAAATCATCGCAAATATGCGAAACCTCAGTTATCAACCAGACAAAAAAGAAACAAAACTGAGAAACAACGACAATCATCACTTACCCTCCACATAAAACCGGAGAGATGGTGGTACTAACTCTAAGCACTGGTTATATTCTTCCTGGGTACAATGAACAGTACCCAGACGCAGCATTAAACCCATCCGTTTTAATGTGTCAACTTCATTACGTATCTCATAGGCTTGATCGAAATTGAATAAGTATTCCAATCTGAAAAATTAAGAATTTATCTTCTTTTCATATGATGAAAATCAACACTACTTTAAAAGCAGTGATTCAGTTACCAAACTTTTACCTGTGACAAAATATAGAATAAGCGTATTCTAAAAGTCTACAAAAATCACCGCTCATTGAAGATTCACATGCTAGATAATTACGATAAAAACTAGGTTGCATTGACGTAACATACTTAAAATTAGGCTACTGAAGTTTTTTTCGAGGCGTTAAGTAAACCGATATGCATGCAGCATAACAGTACAAGATTTTACAGCATTATTTGTACTGGACTTCCTTATTTGTTTATTTACTTCATCTTCAATTCTTTTTGATGTCAACTGATGATTAACTACCACTCATAAGATAAGGAGATTTACGCTAGATATAATAATCACATAAATTCCAGTTCAATGCTAATATTTTAATTTCTGAAACAAAATGGAACTATATTAATGTAGCCGGTGCTGCAACAAGTCAAAAATGACTACACACCTAAAATTTGAGTAATATGTTAGGTTAGGCATACTGTTAGGTAAGCAGAGCAAGTCAATCGATAAGATCATGAAGCTGCATCAACTAAGATGGCTAGGACATGTGTTGTGCGTGCTGAGCCACTACATTACTCGACGGGCAATGGTAGCTGACATTGGATTGGGTTGGAAAAGAGTCAAACTAAAAATTGCAATCAGTTCAAGAAGTTTTTAAAAGTTGGTCTGAGTCAGTCACACAGACAAAGGTGTAGGCTGACTGGTTCGGGTCCTCAAGATGCTAAAAACCAATGGTCGGGAACTGTTGGTGACATGGCTCGAAACCAATCTCAGTGGTGCAGCTGCACTCTCTTTTTAATCTCTCAGATCCTTTAACCCTTGTGGACAAATTTCCATGTTGAAACTCAATCAATTAGTAAGACTACACAAAGACCTAAGTCTAACAACATGTAAGGATTAGTAAAAACCATGTTGCAAACATGAACGAGTACAGTAGCTAAATATAATTCACTTACTAATATCACTCCCAAATTATATATATACATAACACTCAACTAATCCAAGTCACTGTCACAGGGACTACTCTCAAATTTGAATATCCACGATGATGTATTACAGCTTAACAAAATGGTATACCTAATTTAACGACACAATTAAACAAATATTTAAAGCATTTAAGTAGAACGCATGACAATCCAGCTCACTTGTCATTGGATATGTTGCAATCAATGACAGTTTTCTTATGTGTAGATATCACCAGAAACGGCAGTGGTATTTTTTCATTTCGAACTTTAGGAGCCCCATTTTCTATATTAATAGTAATGTTGCACGAATCCCCAGACTCTGTTACAATGCGGTTTCTGCAGCGTTCATTGATTTTATTGCGCATTACAAGGTTTTTGAATGCAATCAGCTGCATAATAAGTTCTTGAATTTCCATAGTCTAAAATGACAATTAAGAAAATGGAAATTTGTGAATAAAGGACACTATTCGGGACAAGGATGATAACAGTTGAGGTTAGGGAGACAGCACTTCCAAAATTTCTTCCAAGACTATAATCCAGAGAAATTAGCCTCTACATTAAAGCAAGCCCGTGAAGAAAACAAAAAACGGCATACCTGCGGTGGTAATATTGAGAAAATAAGTCGCAGAATATCAAAACAAAACCTACATAAATGTACATGTTTTGTTTGATAAAGTTGTCAGCTCCGTCCAACTGACGTATTCTATTTGTACACCTTACAATTGTTTTTAAAACTCTAATCTTATTAGTGTGAATTGTTTGTCTTGTTAACGTATGGAGGGATTAAACCAGCCAACATTTGAAAAGTTAAGAAAGCAAAAAGAGAAAAGGTCGTAACGATAATTTTTTTTTTATTTATTTTTGATTTACAGCTTGATTCCACACCGTATTTTCAGTACAAGTATGGAATTTTCAGCATGGATATCGGTAGCCCAAATTCAGGCCGACCATAGATATCGGGTGTGCGCCGACAGGGGATCGAACCCCGGACCATGTGCATGGTCGACGAGAGTCCTAACCACTGTGCCACCGACGCACATGGTAAAAAACTAGGTAGGATAATATTTGTAATTTTTTATTTTAAAGGACACTGAAAGACCCAGAGGACATTTCCGAAATTTCGGTGACCACACCAATACAGTCTACATTTTTCAACATAACTCACACACGGACTTAACTACGTTCTGACTTCATACTGTTATCACAATGCTCATCGAGTCACATACTTAAACTCACCGTAGCCACTTCAGTTGTTAACAGACAAAAACAACAAGTGCTTGTGTTCCACCGTAAACAATCCCACACCCTGATTACCCCCGCTAATCCCCTTCTCACAAACCATCCGGTCATATTTTGCCATGTTGCCCTATCTCGTTCAGTTCCTTAGTTTGAATTAACGCATGAGTTTTTTCAACATACAACTGAATATAAAGTTGACAGCATGAAACTTGTCATAGAAACTTAGAAGTTCAATATATCCGGGTACCTTCAATGTTGTTCCCAGAATTATCATACGCCTTAACATCTTGCAGTGAAAAGCTATAGAAAATTCTAACTGCTTAACGATACTTCCACCATTTACAGTATATCAGGGATGAGACACGAGAGCTAGCTTTATTTCCAAATGTAGATGGTGTAAATCTGCACATAGTAACAGTTAATAGGAAATATTTGGTAATAAATGTGATTTCTAAGACATAACAACCAGATGATTTGCAATGTTTTGAGCATACCTTATTTCGTAAAGAAACCTGTCGCTTTTCACGCTCTTCTTCCAGACGTCGACATTCTTCTACCATATTCACAGGTAATCCTACCCAACGTATTTCTTTTTTTTCTTTTTGTAATACATTCAACGCCATAAGGACATTCAGTGCGTCATAGACACGTCGACGGATATTTTTCTGAATATAATGAAGCTATAGGACAAAATAAAATAAAAATTAACTTCTACTGAAGATACTCTTAGTATAAAAAAATGAATTGCTCATGTGGCAATTTAGAAAAACTACCTGTTCAGATGGAATCATAGGATGTTCAGCAGCATATTCATGAACAAGTTCATCAGCAACTTCACTGTAAGAAGTAATTCCTTTTTCTTTGACTTTATTGCACACACAACGAGCATAACGCCGAAGACCATTGGTTTTCAAACTAGTTGTAACCCTAAGAGAATTAAAAGTTGGATGAACTTTGAAAGGATGTATTGACTAAGAAAAAAATAAATCATTAAATCCACATATATTGAACAGAAGAAAAAACAACTTGTTAGATACTAATTAACAAAAAGTTGGAGCACGTTCGTTAACTTTCGGTGTCTAAAAGTTTGATTGTTACTCAGCAGCCTTTACACATAATAAGACGAGTTAATGCAAATAAAATATCTGTAAACTATTTACACACTTATTTTACAAATAGAATTTTTACAAATATTTAGTGTTTTCAAAATCCACATCAATACGGTCTTCATGAAGTACAAATATTTCGCTAATTTTAAAAACTGTATTTGGCTGTAAAAATAATATACATCTCAAAACTTAGTGAGTACCTGCTGGTCTGGTTAACCCAACCGATAGTTGCAACCTTGACGTGGTGGTCGGGCTTGCATATCGCAATGATCCAACAAGCTACACTGGCTGGAAATATTGTTTCTGCAGGTCCTACTATACTAGGAAGGTTGTTAAGATGGCAATTAGACTAAAAGCAGTAACCGGCATAGTGTAAGATTTTTCTACACTATGCTGGGGATCTATCTGCGGGCAAAGTCGTACTGCTGGGGGACAGGGGTGTAACAGCAGAAAGGTGTTTCCCTCAGATCACCAGCATGCCAGCTATCCTGTCGCTCCACTCTGTAGAGAGGGGATTAGAAAAGATCAACCTCAAATACTGTACGTCCTAACTTACCCTACAGTGGTCCGTAACCGGTGGTAAGTTTACTAATACGGAACCAATCCAAGAAACCAATTCACACAGGCCGTGTGTAACCGACATCAAGCACTTGTACCCTGGGCTCTGCGGTCACGCAACACTAACCCTCTATTTGTTTCAGGTACGCGAAGAATCAACCAACTTCCACGGTGTGAGCAACTGGGAAGTAACAACCGCCCACACACTTCCAAGAGCATACGAAGCCTCCCCGAGCATCATTCTCCTGTGCCCACATCACCTTCATCATCTTCCCCCCTACTACAGTCAGTACTATTCTTCAGGCTAGTGAGGCATCTTCACCTCACTCTGTGACCACGAACAACGGTGAGAGCCACAGAAACACCCGGTGGTCTCTTAAAGCCACGCCGCCAACTGTATATTGGAGTACTTAACGTCAGGACGCTCTGTCAAGTCGGACAACAGGCATCACTAGCAAGAACTCTGTTATGTCAAGCCATGGGTGTATGTTGTGTTTCGGAGACACGCATACAAGACCCGAGTGCAGTCATTCACTTAACCTCACCCGGCCAACAAGGTGAATCTGCAAAATTCACTTTAAGGGTGTCAGGAAACCCCTCAGCTAGTTCGCGAGGACTCGCAGGTGTAGGGATAGCATTGAGTGTTAGGGTAGAAAAATCACTTCTTGACTAGACACCAGTAGATAGTCGTATGTGGGCGGTCCGTTTGAACGGATCCGTTAGAAGAAGGAAGGACGGCGTTGCCCGTCGTTGTCTTTTCAGTCTGCACTTACACCCCAACAGACTGCAGTTCAGATGGACTAAAGGATGACTACTACCAGAAACTATGCAATTTGCTGCATAAAGCAAAACGTTCACATATAGTTGTTGTAGCAGACGACTTCAATGCCGAAGTAGGGAAGTTGTGCCAGACGTACGTATGGAGTTCCCTGCCGATGAACGGACAACGGTGATCATCTTCTCTAGTTCTGTTCAGATTATCATCTGTTCCTAGTCAGCATTAATTTTAGGCGTAAAGAGAGACAATGCCTAACCTGGTGACCTCCAGCACCAAATCAACGTTGGACTCAGATAGACCACATCGTCATAGGGTATCGTTGGCGAGGGTCAGTAGAAGAGAAGACTGCCGCTCCTCCTGGAACACGTGCGTAGACTCCGATCACGCCCTGGTTCGCGAACTTTTATGCTTACGATTAAACGGATATAAAAGATTGTTGGCAGCGAAGCAGTTACTTCCCCAACTAGATCGAGACTCTGAGTTCTTATTTAAGGAAGAAATAGCGAAACGAGTGTCTGAGGTCGACAGCAGGACTCCTCCTGGGTTAGCCTGGCACAACATACAGCTAGCTGTGGACACAGCCATGAAAACTGTCAATAAGCTAAGACCTAAAGTTAGTAAGAGCCATTGGATCTCTACCGCCTAATCCGAACTGATTGATGCGAGAAGAGTGATTCCAGTGAGCTCCGATTATGATGAGGAGCGAAAGCTACTCAAACGCAAACTAACAAGAAGTCTTTGTAACAACCGTGAACAGTGGTGGGCAACAAAAGCGAAAGAGATGGAAAAGGTATCGGCGATTGATAATACCAGACAACTATTCAGGCTTATCAGGGAAACAGGTGGCAAAAGGCAAATGATAAGTGAAACAATCTCCGAGAAAAATGGCACCATGATTAGCTCCCAGAATAGACGACTGGAACGCTGGAAAGAACACTCTGAGGAGCAGTTTAACTGGCCTACAGCCACACTTAGCCTGCCAAACATCCAACACCTCCCGGAATGGGATATAGACACAGGTCCTCCGTCCTTAACTGAGGTTACTAAAGCAGTCACTAATCTGAAGGCAAAGCAGCGGCACCTGACCGAATGACTCCAGAGGTATTTAAGTACGGTGGAGACAGTTTACTGTCTGCACTAACTGAGGTTCTAGGCAGCGTCTGGGAATCAGAGGAAGTCCCGTTGTGTTAATGTAAGTCTCTGATTATCCCGATATACAAGAAGGGAGACAAGTCTTCTTGTGATAATCACAGGGGAATTAGCTTGACTAATATGGTATCTAAAGTCCTAGGCTTAATAATAATGCGTAGACTAAGTGGTGCTCTGGATGCACAAACACGAGAAAACTAGGCAGGCTTTAGATCAGGAAGAGGGTGTATTGATCACATCTTCACCCTTCAACTGATTCTGAAACATAGGCATACTTACCGGCGTCCAACAATCGCTAAATTAAAGGCGGCATTCGATTCTCTCAACCGAGAGGTACTCTGGCGATGCGTGGCTTTAAGAGGAATGCCAAGAAAATACATTTCACTGATCAAGGCACTCTACTCGAACTCATGCAGCTAGGTGAGGGCTTACGGCGAGTTATCATCTGAAGTGGTAACAAATAGTGGTGTCCGTCACGGATGCGCAGTCCCCATTTCTCTTTAATTTCATCATAGATGTACTAATGGACTTAACCCCAAGTGACGTCAACGACTCAGGGATTGACTTGTTACCACGGTATGATCTCGTTGACTTAGCATTTGCAGATGATATAGTCCTTTTAGGTGAAGACGCTGACAAAATGCAGTCTTCTGAACATCTTGAGCTGCAATCTGAGAATGTTTGGCATGTGATTCGCTCCTGCTAATGTAAGATGATACTACAGGACTGGACTACATTGACTCTTAGCTTAAAGATAGGGAGTGAAGTGGTAGAGCGTGTTGACCACTTCATTTATTTGGGAAGTTGCATCAGCCAGCGTCAACGGGTTGATTGCTGATGAAATCTCAGCACGGATATAGAGGGCTAGTTTCGCATATGCCAGTTTACGCCGTTGCTGGCGTAGACGTGATATCTGACTGGCTATCGACCAAAGGATGGGTGTACTGCTCAGCAGTCCACTTCGTCCTTCTCTATGGCTGTGAGACTTGGCCACTGAGAGTAGAAGACATGAAAAGGCTAGCTGTCTTTGATCATAGATGCCTGCGTTCTATCTCCCGTGTGAAGTGGTATAATACGGTGAGCAATATTGAGGTTAGGCGTCGAGTGCTAGGTAAGGAGGGGAAATCAATGTATGAGGCTGTGAAGCTGCATTAACTGAGGTGGTTAAGACGTGTTACGTATGCCTAGCAATCGCCTTCTTCGATGGGCAATATTAGCTGACATACGGTCAGGTTGGAAAAAAGCCAGTGGTGGTCAAACTAAAACATGGTACCAGTCAATGAAATCTACAACAGCTAGTTTAAGCCACATAGAAGGTGTAGACTTCTTGGTTGGGGTCCTCGGGACGGCAAAAGCCAATGGCTGGAGACAATCGGTGATATGGCTCAAAATCTTTCTAAATGGCGAAGATGCATCCACTCCTTGTGACTTATAATACCCAATAAAACTATATTCTTCTATATTACTACTCTTTTTGCCTCATATCTCTGTTTACTGTCTTTATTTTGCATTTACTTTCACTTTATTCTCTTGCTTTGTTTGCTACATGGTGTGTGGTGACTCGAACTGCTGCACATCGGTGCAATTTTCTACTCTGAAACCAGCCAAACAGTCAGGTCTAGTTAATACCACAGAAAAATTAAACAAGAAATATGATACTGTGGACGTAGGAATCATCACATATTGCATTATTTTTCATCAAAATAATAAACCAAAACAGAAACAGAATGGGAAAATAAACCCGCCAAAGCAATAATTAGAGAAGCAAAGAGAAGTGATACCATAATTGTGAAAGTGAACCCTGCAGTACTCAAAACTGCCTAGTAAAAATGTAGAATGGAAGCCTTAGGTCCATAACAGAACTATGAAACTTATTTGCAAAAAAACTTTCTTAAACCTTTGTAATATGCAGCTTACTGTTCTTGTTCATCACCTGATTCTCGTCCAGATGGACTAGCTGGATGTTCAAATCCAGTAGCGGTAGTAGTTTGTGTATTCGTATCATAATAACCAGTTGGGTTTGTAATAACACCGTGAGGAGTTCCATTAATAATTTCACCTCCGGAAGTTAACACCATCTGATTCTCGATATCTTCCGAATTCTGATATTGGACAGTAGGTGCTGTAAATTGTGTTGTGGGTGCACCAGATAAAATTATTGTACCCTAAAACAACAGAAAGAAAACGACAATACGAAAAACTAAAACCACTAGAAATATAACAAAAAGAGCTCAGCAAGGACCATCAGCACTGAAACAAACTTGGAATCAGAGAAAGAAAAGAAACCTTCCAATTTTAAATGTGCTCCCGTAAACGACCAGGTACGTTCGATGATGGGAAGACTTCGATCTTCCTCAGAAAATACTCTCATGTGACTACACGTTCATAGTCTCTGCCATTTAAGTCCGATTCACTACCATCATGCAGTGGGAATATGCCTCACAAAAAAGAAAGGGGAAATGTGAATGTCTGACACCTACATGGAGTTCTATCTACGGGAGCTGGAAAACCCTGATTCTAGATTGATGTACATGGATTCCAGGATCAAATGGCAGGTGATCCTGTTTCGGCTACCAGTACCAATGGGATCGTAGCTCCTGATGTTGGGGCAGTAGAGCACTACTGCCCTCAAGATACTTACTTGCTTTGGTCCGGGTGTCCGAAAATTATCCCAGTCATCCCACAAACCATGAGATTTCGCGTGGTACTTCTCTTGGTGCTCATAATGTACCAAATTTGCGCTTTAATAAACAATAAATTATTCCTGAAACTTCACGCAGAAATGAACCAATTCAAGTTACTAGACTTCGAAATACTACGCAAGAGAAAAAAACAACAAAGTATACATTACAATGTGAAAAAACTGTGGGATGATGTGTGAGAACAATTCTATAGGAAGTAGTAACACCCAGAACTTCGATGACAAGGTGTGAATACATCTGGCTCACTAGAAACTAATTCCAACCAATAATCCTTAGAATGTCGAGCACACAAACCAGACAGTTGCAGTGGTTAGGGTAGCAACCAATGACAGATTGTTTAAGCCACCCCTAACATTTCCAAACTGACCACAGAGAAAGATGATTGTCCCACGCAGCTTAGGCATCTCAATCAATATGAATCCGCCTTATGAATGGATTTACGCTTCTTACACAACCATGTAGGAACACATTGTTCCAAGTAACGCAATTGACGAAAAGAAACCACTCAGGGTAAAAGAGCATGTCGTTTCGCATGCCTCCTACTTTCCAAAGCCGCACTTTCAAATTACTGTAGGACGGGCAGAAAACAGAACATGCGACCAACTAACATAATTAGATGGATATTTAGCGTGCCATTAAACAAGTCAGCAAAAAAAAGAGACATTATATCGTCTACATACTCTGGATGCAAAATTCAAGTATGTTCTATTTAAACGTTTTATATATCAGCGACTAAAACCTTGTTCTTTTTATCGATAAGATCACATCAATGCTTAACACTGGCGATCAAATCGAACAACAAATCAGTATACAGAAGGAACTCAAAATCAAAATCACGTGAATCCACACATGGTGAACATACCGGTCTCACAGATGTTATAGTAGTAGCACCTGTCAGGACTGTGGGCCCAGATGACACCTGAGGGCGAATGGTTAGAATACGTGGATAACATGATGTGACGGTAATACCACTGGAATTAACAGTCTGCTGACCTCCAGTAGGAACCACTTTGACTGTTCGCTGCAACATGTGCATGGGAATCACTAAAGATGAAGAGTACAAGAATATAAATCACAAGACGTCTGTTGAATAATAATAATAATATTTTTATTCAAAACAGTACTTTTGATACAGTATGGAACTTTCAGCATGTACTGAAATATTGCATCTAATTTCTTCTCTACATTACATGGTAAGGGGGAAGTAATTAAGAGGGTATTTGCACTGCCGATAAGATGAATGAGCAGAAATAATGAAAATATATTGCTGAAAGAACAAAAAGAGCCGTTTACTTAGTGCTTCACAGTAAAGTTAGTAGTGGCCTGTCTGACACTTTTCTCAACACAGAATGAGTGTCAAATAAGATATAGTAGAAGTTTTACAGTCAGTCGTCCCAGCATAAAGTCTCCTATAATTGCTTTTAGTTTTACCTGAAGAGATGTTAGGGGAGAGGATGCACTGAGCTCGACAATATGACATTAGCTGATTTTTTGTCTGAGTTCAAGTTTATACCTACAACAGTATTAACAAGTATTTAGCAGTACCTCAGTCACCCTGCTGACAGCTTTTAGGGTCCTTCGCAGTGTGACAAAGTCTTTCTTGGGTAGCGCAGGAAAGATTAAGGGGGAGCAATAAGGAATACGCAGAATACAGGAGTTAGTAAACTACAAGAGCAGAGACCAAGTGATACAAAACTGTCTTAACTTTCTTACGTAAAATGTTAGACGAAATATCTTTCTGGATTGACTGACTGACTGATTTCAACGTAAACATTTGCACCGATGTGCAGCAGTTCGAGTCACCACACACCATGTAGCAAACAAAGCAAGGGAATAAAGTAAAAAGAAATGCAAAATAAAGACAGTAAACAGAGATATGAGGCAAAAAGAATAGTAATATAGAAGAATATAGTTTTATTGGGCATTATAAGTCACAAGGAGTGGATGAATCTTTCTGGAAATAAACATATTGTAGGAAGACCAATAAATATCGGAAAGATATAACCTAAGGTATTTAACATTTGACTCAGTGCTAACCTCATTGCCTTCTGGAAAACACGAATCATGGGAATGAAGCAGATCCTGTAAATCAAGTTTGACAATCTGACATTTGGAGGGATATAGATTAAGGTCATTCGGCAAACATAAATGATTAATTTTCGTTAAAAGCCTATTCATTTTGCAACATTCTTATTGAAATGTGACCGGTATGGAAACATTTAGGTCATCGACATACTTAACAAAATTGACTTCATCAGAATGACAAGTCATGTAAGACGAAAAGACAGAAAGGGGGAATAGCACACTGAGGGACACCGTATACATTAAGTAAGGTAGCGGAAGACTTCACTTTATATAGTGTACTACTTTCTGTCTGAAAAGTAAAAATGCAACCATTTATCAATCAAGCTTGTGTCACAGCAAACTCGTTTAACAAAAAGGCCTGGGTACAAAATCAAATGCAGATGTGCAGTCTAGGAAACTAAACCGAAAATATCTAGCACCTCCGCCTAAACGGGAGACACTACGACGTAAGAAGAAAGCAAAAAGAAACGCAAAATAAAGACAGTAAACAGAGATATGAGACAAAAAGAATAGTAATATCGAAGAACAATATAGTTTTATTGGGTATTATAAATCACAAGGAGTGGATGCATCTGCGCCACTGAGAACGATTTTTAAACAATTGGTGATATGGCTCAAAATCTTTCTAAATGGCGAAGATGCATCCACTCCTTGTGACTTATAATACCCAATAAAACTATATTCTATATTACTATTCTTTTTGCCTCATATCTCTGTTTACTGTCTTTATTTTGCATTTACCTTCACTTTATTCTCTTGCTTTGTTTGCTACATGGCGTGTGGTGACTCGAACTGCTGCACATCGGTGCAAAGTTATAATTTGAAACTAGTTAGTCTGTGAGTCAAATCGATATTGCTTGTAAGCAAATTGTCTCGTTAAAAGCCTTCAAAAACAGTTTCAAAGTTATGTTAAAGGCAGTTCCTCCCATTATTTTTAAAGATGGAAAGTTTATAGCAATAGGTCTAAATGTAACACATGTCCCACTTAGCAGCGAGACAATTTTAAATGTCTTCAAGAAAGAGATACAACATATGTAAATAATGGTGCTTTGAAAATATCGGATAAAGTAAAATATCCCCATCTTTTCTGAGTTTCACAGCGTGCACGCCATTGGACCTAAGGGTGAGGTAGGTTACAAGGATTTGAGACATTTTAGAACATAAATTGTATCAAAATCAGAATAGCGTTCATTCTTAACTGTAGAACCAGAAATAATAACTTCTGGAAAACAGATGAAACACACCAGCATCAAATTAAGAAGGATCACTTCGCTTTTCCCCAGCGATTTCCTTAAACAATTTTCGCATATCCGAAACTCTGCATAATAAGAACTTTCCGATCTACCAAAAGATCTACTGTGGTACGTCATACAGAAACACTGAAGCAACTTTAACTAAGTAAGTGACTATGACTTTATCATACGATAGACTATAATCATGTGATTTAATTACTACATAATAAATCAAGTACAACATTAGGTCAGAAATATACAATGAGCTTACCAGTAGCCCTAATTGCCTTTACTCCAGTTCCTTGGCCTGGCATGGTTATTATTTTCAAAGCCTTTGCAATAAGAGAAAAAACAAATGAATAATTGGAAATTTCTGTATTCAAGAACAGTGTAGCTAAGTTGCATTCGTCAATATGAATGGTTAAGGAAATGTTAGTAAATAGTGTCAACTATGTTATAAGGCATGCAATCACCTTTATGCCTGCGCGTTGAACAGTTGCATTTGGTATAGTCGGTAGAGACACTGCGCCACTACGTTGCAACATGATGACTCGCGGACCTCGCTGGCCACCTGTTGCATTCTGAAGAGTTAAAGTTCCACCTGCGCCCACAGTGATCGTTCCAACACTAGACACAACAGATTGAGCGACAGACCCTGGCGAAATAGTGCCTTCCGTTATTACTGTTTGTTCATTAGGTCCAACAGTTATTTCTTGCTCTGCAGCTGGTATATCAAACATATCTGCAGACACCACTCCATATGGATCCATCTGTATAAAAATGAATTTACATAAAATTAGGTACAAGTCACTGTATAATTACAAAATACAATATCACAATGATAGTACAACTTAAGTTAGAGGAACTTTCGAAGGAGAAACAGAATTTACAGATAAGTAGCAGCCACAAAACCTAAGAACTAAACAGATTTGTGACTCAGAAGCAATGATTAGTTCATCAAGCAATTACGCACACCATCAAATAGCTGTCAGTTTGATTCAGGAATTCGACAAAAGATTTCACCAAAGGAATTGTCACTGAAGTACAGCAAATCATTTGATGAATTTCAAAAACAAGTCAATACATATTTGGCTTCCCCATGTAATAAAAAGCACTAGAGCTTCCGAACTCCTGTACAGGAAACGCGCAACTAATAAGAAGACTGACGCTATTACGTTAATCAACCCTACACATAACAGACCATAAGTAAGTGATCAAGTACTACAGGACTACAGTATGACAATCATCTCCTTTTTTTGCACAATCGTAGAGCAGAATACATGTTCCACTTGGAACGCAACATTGTTGTCTTCGTTTTTTTCGTAGGGAGCATTCTCTAACCAACATTCTACACCAAACATACGAGACCTGGCAATCCTGCTGAACACAATGCATCACATATTGACTTTAACCATATGTATGATCAAAAATAATCCACACCGATATCAAAAAAAAATACACAAATGAGTAGTATGCGTGCATACATAACACATTAACGAAACTGCAATTTACATTTAGACTTCCGTATGTTATTTATATCTTGGGGTGAATTCCTAACACGTGACATGGCTCTGGTGTAGGCTGGATGATTCGCTTATAGTTTCAAAAAACTACGCTGCTGATAATTCTGACATAATGAGAAATCCTTAACATGACCAAATTGGTTAGAACAGCCTTTAGGTGATAGTTCTGGAGATTTGACAGATTTACTCCACATACGATCAATACGCATGTCTGTCAACTAAGTAATGGATCTCCAAGCACATAAACAATGAAACATTCGAATGATATATGCAGAGGCATATTTTCCGCGGAAATAATGGCGGGCAAATTAGACTTCGCTCACTTTTATCAGCGGAACTTTCAAAACAGACGTCCTACAAATTAAACCGCGGATGTGCAGCTGTGCTGTTTTAAACAAACTTATGAGTAACAAAGGAAATGAATATGTGTGAAATATTTTTACATGATAATGAAAAAATAATCTAATTTGTGCAAAGTAAGATGTAATTTATTATGTTCCTAGGTAGATTCGATCTACATAATCACAGACACTCAGTAAACAAGCTTACAGCTGCTTATCTCTGCCGAAGGTGTTTCGTGAAAATTTGACTTTTTCATGCAATAGTTCACCAAGCAAGGATTGTGACCATGTATGATAGTGACTGCAGTGACTTTGAAGGGATCGAAGTACATTTAACGTTACTTTACATCTGTGTTCATCAAAATATTGTCTTATCATACTTTCAGGTGGCACTCAAAGCCAGATATAGAGATCCTGAACATCTGAGTACTATAGAATACCCTACACAAATATATGTTCTTGCTTATAAATTTTATTTCCACGAACATTGTTTTACTTCAAGCTTCCAATGATTTTCACAATTAGCACACAAGCTGAAAGCCATGTTTCCAGTGTACTCACATATCTTGTAAGGTGATAACCTGTGTTGTACATATTTGTCATCTTCAACATTATGGTCAGCTAATGGATACCGCTCCCTCAAATATAAGATTGAAGGGTATATCTCAGGTAGAAAACTGCTGGTTAGTATCGTCTGTGTTTCAGTAAAAGTGCCAAGTAACATCAATAAGAAAGCAAAATTCGACAAGTTGATGAAATGTAATTAAATAGGCCTTTAATTATTCAGTCTTCGATAGAAGGTTGTTACAGTAGTTGTAGTCATTTTTTAAGTAGAATTTCATTAGCAATGACATAATTAGATATGCAATTCAAAAAATGTAAATGATTTTAAGCAGACTTGGGCACTGTGGTAGAGTAATGAAATAAAATTTTATCCATAATGAAATTTTAAGCAGACAACTTTCCTAAATCAGATCCTTTATGTGCGATTACGGAGGAGAATAATGCAGAGATTCTGCCGTGCCCGAAAATCATTTACCAATTTTAAAAGAACACCTCTCATAGCAAGTTTTAGTGCACAAATTTCAATTTTTCTCTTCAGGTTATGTAAATTCGGACGATGTTGAGTTTGTCAGGCGTTAAACTTATCACTTATTCCAACAAGTGATCATGTAAAGTAGAGCGGCTTTGCAGACAGTCATATTTTAAAAGGAAAAAACAGAGGGATAGTTTGAGGTTGCTGATTCTTGCATGAAACCTGAAGTCATGGTAACTTACCGCTAGTCGCCAGCAGAACTCAGTTGGATGGTATGGCATTTCCCATAACTCGAGTGAATATTGGTTATTTATCAGTTGAGATATATTCGAGTAGAACGATCTCATTAAATAGACGTATTAGGGTGGTAAAGGCGACTGTTAGTGCACAGAAAGAAAGACAGAATGCAGATTTACTTCGTCGAAATATGAAAGGTTACAAACATGAAGTTGTCTCAGTAGAATTTAAGGTTTTTATGAACTAAGACTTTCCAAATTATATTAACCTAAACACCTGCCACCTGAAAAAGCCATTGTGCTTACTGTTGTTTTCTCCATAAACATGTGGAAATGATGTGGATTAAACATTCTATTTTACACACTAATACTGTTGGATGTACTTCTACACAAGGAGACTGGTAGTCTACGCAGCTAAGGGGAAAATACCGTTCTGATTAATAGAAGGTTTTAAAGTGGGTCACCCATGCTTCAGCTGTTACTGTGCTTAGACTATGTGACATTTTCATTAAATTTGAGGATTAAAATACCCGTAGGCAAATTAAGCCCTATGTGCGTATCATTTCTTGGTGGAGACAGTAACACAAGTGCAGACTCCTTGATTAAAGTCATACAAAAATTGAGGTTTGCTAGGTACCATCTCAAGGGTTTATGTGTGGAATGTGATTGTAAAGGCAGCTAAATTGTGTATGGAAAGTAATAAATCTCGAGAGGCTCACACTGGAAGCTTCGAGATGACAAGCTGCTTGTAACTCAAAGGTTTCTTTCTCGTGAACTAGGTAGCTGGATGATGTTTGTTTTTAACCCTGATACTTAACAAATTTTATCCTCGAAATATTGCACATGACAGACGCCGGTATGCCACACTTCCTGAAATAATATGCTCAATGTAGGAAATAGTACTTAAATGGTTATCGAAACAACGTTGTATAGCTTATTGACCGACGGTTAATATTTCAAGCGTATCCAATAATATATATTCTAATTTATGTACATGAGGGACGTCAGTTTGCAGTCGTCATCAATATGATAGATAATATATACATGGAGTAAGCATAATTACATTTTCACTTACATGGCCAACACTATTAATGGTGACTGAAACCTGGCTTACTACTGATATACCTGACACGATGTTAGTAATAGACAACTACGACATCTATAGGAACGATAGAGTTGACAAAAGAGGAGGCGGTTAATAATAATAATATATATTCTCATTTTTTTACATGAGGGACGCCAGTTTACAGGCATCATCAATTCGATAAATTAAACATACGATTAGTAAGTATAGTTAGTAATGATAATACAATAAGGTACATATTTATTCCTACAAATGTAGAACACACAAGTTGTATAGGCATGGATAAGTATTATTTAAGTGACATATTTAAATTACATGATTTACGGTTAAATAACATGGTTGCTGTCATTTTATCTTTAGTTTGTGGGAAAAATCGGATAACTGGTGATTCAATGGAACACATCAAGAAATATAGAGATATTGACTTCGCATTAAAAAAAACAAGTATGCGTTGGATGGATTACAGATACTTGGGAAAATAAATAAAGCTTGAAGTCAATTCCCTCATAAAACAATAAAATGCGTCTTACAATAATATATTCCCACTTTATGCACATGAGAGACTCCAGTTGACAGGCATCATCAATATGATTATAATGCGCACATGGAGTAAACATGTGTAAACGTTGTGGCTACTCGACGCCCACAACGTAAAATCAGAAGGCACTTGTGAAGAGTGTAACCGTGTATTATAGCCGTAGTCAAATTTCAAAATTGTATCAAGGTAACGTTCAACAGTAAATTGACAAATGTTTACGAAGTACATATAAAATCGGTATGTGTAAACATATAATATGAGTATGCAAATTAGATTAAAATCGTATGTTTATAGTTGGTACAGGGGTACTACATAATTCCCCCACCAGAACACTGAAATATAAAAATATAAAAAAATACATTTAAGTGTTCGACAAAAACATGCATCGGCGTAATATGCAGCAGAGATAGTACATAGAAAGCGATTTATTAAGCTGAAAAAATGAGCAGTTTAATGCGGTCAGTAAGGCCGATAATAAATGCGATAATAGAAGAAAAAATAGGATTGATGATCGTCGTAGAATATATAAGGAATAATAAAATCGGCCGGGGATCTGCAATCTATAGACGGAAAGGATACATGAATATTAAGCGCTATTTGATTAAATGTAATAATACAGGGAATATCGATGTTAAAATAGTAGTGACGTGATTTACGTATAAAAATATTAATCAGTTAAATGAGTAGTTAAATGACAATTACGAATAAAGATAATAAAAATGAAAATTCGTAGTAAGTTATATTTTGATGATTTGCACATAACGTTTAGGCCAATGAACTCTCCTACCAGAGCGTGTAGTTTTCATAGGTTTCTCTGGCGACGTTGAAGCTTGCGTGGATGTAGCTGTTGGCACGTCGTTCAGCTGTTCTTCATCGTTGGCTTCGAAATCGTCGATGAATGCTGGTTTGACTCTGTCGACACTAATGGCTTCTGCTTTATTCAGTCGTTCTATCGTGATAACTTTATCATTTCTATTTAGAACTTTGAATGGGCCATCGTAAGCTGGTTGAAGTGGTCGTTGTACACCCTCTCTCCTGACGAAGACGTGAGTGCAATCTGTCAGTTGTGGCAGGATGTATGACGTCCGTTCCTGCTGGCGTGGAAGTGATATCTTGAGCTCGTTCATGTGTTGTTTTAGCTGGTCACATAACCAGTCATATCTTGTGGAAATTGGTTACCTGGTGTGAAAAATTCTCCTGGTAGTCGTAATGTTGTTCCATAGACTAGTTCGGAAACACAGCAGCCAATATCTTTCTTTAGAGCAGATCGTATACCAAGCAGTACCAGTGGGAGTTTGGTTGACCAGTCATTTTGAGTCAAAGAAGCAGCGAGCGCAGCTTTGAGTTGTCGATGAAGTCTTTCAACCATACCGTTGGAACTAGGATGGTACGCGGTTGTTCGTATTCGTTTAATGCCCAGTAATTCCGTTAGCTGGTGAAACAGTCGGCTTTCAAACTGAGCACCTCTGTCTGTAGTGATAATGGATGGGACACCGAAGTTAGCTATCCAGTTTTCGACCAAAGCTTTAGCTGCTGTTTCAGCGGAGACGTCGGCTATTGGAACTGCTACAGGCCAACGAGTGAATCTATCGATGCAAGTTAGAATGTAGTTGAAACCATTGGAAGAAGGTAGTGGACCAACTATGTCTACATGTATATGTTCAAATCTAGAGTCAGGGTTAGGAAAGCGACCAAGTGGTGCATTAGTGTGACGGTTGATTTTGACTCTTTGACAAGACAAGCAATTTCGTGTCCACTTCTTAACATCGCTATTAATGTTCGGCCATATAAATCTTTCTTTTATTAGTTTGATAGTAGCGCTGACACCGGGATGAGACAAGTTATGTAACTTCTCGAATACTGTATGTCTCATAGCTGCTGGAACGAAGGGTCGATATTTACCCGTAGAGGTGTCGCAGATTATTTTTGTCGTGCCAAAAGGAATTGCGTCTAGCTTTAAAGATGTTGTTTTAGAAGACATGATCTTTTTAAGTTCGGCATCATCTCGTTGTAAGTTTGAGAGACGTTCGTAGTCGATGTCTGGGCATACAATGTTGTCAATGTGCACACGTGATAAAGCGTCTGCCACTTCATTGTGTTTACCCTTCACATGTCGCAGATCAGAGGTGAACTGAGATACAAACTCGAGA